CCCCAAAACCCCAAAACCCCAAAACCCCATAGAGTAGATTTACAGTTCATGAAGCAAGTGGCTAATAATTAATTAAATTTCAGTATTTCTATTAAAGAAATTATTAGTTTATGCAGTCTAGAACTCAATCTTCCATAAGCATGATTTACGACTAATGCTTAAAACGAATCTTCAAATGGAATATGTTCCGAAAATTTGGGCCTGGAGAAAAGGCAAACATTGATTAAATGGTGAACCTCACAAGCTGCTTTGGCAATCCTTAAAATTAGTTTAAATCCATTCATATTGCAGGCACTAATGGAAAAGGTACAGTATCAATAAAAACTGCAAGGATACTCGAGAGTGCTGGCTTCAAGACTGGTCTCTTTATATCTCCTCACATCTCATCATTCAGAGAAAGAATTACTATAAATCAGCAACTGATATCTTAAGAAGATGTTGTCAAGCATGCTGAAAGTGTATTTGAAACAATAGAAAAGCAGAAGTTAAATGTTACATTTTTCGAGATTGTTACAATGATTGCCTTACTGCAATTTGCAGAGCAAAAGGTTGACTATGCAGTGCTTGAATGTGGGATGGGAGGTCGATTAGATGCTACTAATGTGATCACAAAGCCTGAAGTCTGTGCAATTACTAGCATTGGCTTTGATCATATGGAGATTCTAGGTACAACTTTAGAATAAATCGCTGAGGAAAAAGCAGGAATCATAAAATAAGATATCCCAGTTGTACTAGGACCTACTGTGAATCAGTAGTCTGTCATTAAGAAGGTGAGGGAGATGAATAGTAAACTAGTAGAAGTAAAATGGGCAAACTTTAGAAAGGCAAATCAAGAGGTCGTCAACAACATTGTGGATCTTTTGGGTGTAGACATATCTGAGGAAGCACGGGCTAATGGAATGTCCTTTGAGCAGCCATGTAGACTAGAGAAAGTTCCTGAATCAAATTTGAAAGCAATCTTTGAAGATCATGATGAGGACAGTATAGTATATATGGATATTTGTCACAATCCCTAGGCAGTCGAAGCTGTCATCGAAGAAATAACAAAGCGTCATCCTGATTAAAAAATACAAATAGCCTGTGGATTTTCTAAGAATAAAGATCACACTGCAATGATGCATTACATGGCTTCACATGCTTCAGTCACAAGTGTATATCCAATTACTTCAAATCATTTCAAAATTTGTCCAATAGAAGAAATCTAGGATAGGGTAAAGGAGGTCTAAAAACTATTTTTGTCTTTTGAGAAACCAGCAACAGTATTCTAAGAACCCATTTAAGGAGGTTTAATTTCAAGTACTTTGGAATAGGTAATCAAGGAGAGCTAGAAGTAGAAAGATATTGTGCTTATATGTGGTAGTTTCTACATCATGGCTGATGTGAGAGAATACCTTAAATATGACGATGTATTTGACCACAAGGAAGTCAACTTCAAATGACTACTTATCAGCTACAGATAGAAGACTTTACTATATAATGATGCTTATGTTACTTATTTTTGATCAATTATACTTCAAATTCACCTCTATCTAATCGATTTAAGTCAATTGGGGTTTTGGGGTTTTGGGGTTTTGGGG